GTGTGTGTGTGTGTATTTGATGTGTTTTTCTGAGGGTGAGAATAGTATCATCGACGAGGATATTGACATTCTAAAATCTTTCACAAAAGTAGAGGGATGTGTCTTGATGCCCAGTCTTGACTTTTCCGCTGGTCTGTGTTGTACTTCTGAGACTGTCCTCTCCGGAATGAGCTGGATTTTTCTGTGGGGGAGCACTTGTGAACATGACCGCAATCATTTACAGAATGGCAGCATGACACAGTGAACATTGCTTTATAGGATGTGATGTTGAACCTATTATCTTCACCTCATTCATATGCTGTCAGGAAGTGAGTGGACCAGCTGCAGGCTTCCACTTTTCCACTTCGAATGACAAGCATAGTGTAAGATAATGATTATGAAAATGTGGAAAAAATGCTAAGAGTTCTTTTTATGTAAAATAGCCGTAGGTGTCCTTGCATGGCATAAGCAGAAGCCCATAGCTGATAACCAAAAGACACATTATTTGAATATATCCAGTGGAGTCTGGGAAGAGAAGATCATTGTTTCACTGTTTCTAGAAGCTGTTGACTTAGACCCCCCCCCCTTTCTCTCATTCCCTCCCACAAGAGGGGAAACTGCTGTTACATTATCAGTCCGTTAGCCAATTAATTTTCTTAGGATGTTCTTTGATGAATGTGTAACTTTTGTGATTTGTAGGTTATTGGAGGATACTTGAGTTTGATTATGAGATGAAACTGCTGAACCACGTAACTCAGCTTGTGGATTCCGAATCTTGGTCTTTCAGTAAAGTTCCTCTGAAAACCTGCCTTCAGGAACTTGGCCCACTGGAACCAGAGTAAGTATTTCAGGTGCTTGTCTCTCTAGATTTAGCTAAAGAGGAAGAATTCTTTTGTAGACTAGAAGCATACCCAGCATATAGATTTTTCACATTTTGATATAGAAAATTAAAACATAAATCGCTTAATTGCTTATTAAGCTTAAAATATATAGAAATGTTGGTAACTGATCAAATCAGTGTTTTAATTTTTTCAGGGAAATGATAGAGCACTGTCTTAAATGTTATGGAAAGAAATATACAGAGGAAGGTAAGATCTGAAAGGTGTTCTAATGGATATTGGGTATTTCAGTGCTTGTGTGATAAAATTGCTGTGCTTTCCTGAGAGTGCACATTTATTTATAGTGGGGTTGAAACCAAGTCAAAGCTGACACTGCAATTGCATAGGAGGACCTTGCCCATTTTTCCCTGAGGTGAATTCAACCCATCAGAGAGGCCAGGCCTTTAGGTTAACCACGCAGCTCCCTCAGATCTGTGCCACCAGAGCTCCCTATGCCTTCTCGAAGTGTGTTAATATTAAAAACAAGAACCCCTGGGGTGGTAAGAGGTTAGTACTGAGGATGTAACTCCTTCTAGGAACTCTTGTTAAGGGGGAAAAAAATAATCCACTGTTATGGATGACCTTGCAACTATCTGACTCCGTTAGGTGAAGTTTATTTTGAATTGAATGCTGATAAAATATGCAGATCCACAGCTCAGATGCTACTTCAGAACGCCGTGAAGTTCAATCTGGCGGAATTTCTGGAGGTGTGGCAGCAGAGTGTTCCGGAAGGCATGGTCACCGGGCTCGATCAGCTAAAGGTAATGGCAGGTGGTGCCTGCTCCCATATTCACTGGCTACCCTTCATGGCTGTGGAATGGAACTTGTTCCGGGGCTGAATTTGGAACCAAATGATTTTCCTCATCATCCAAGAGAAGGGCATTCTCTGTACAAAAAGATAGCACAGTCTTAAGACTCTATTACTGCACAACTACATACATTAAAATTCACACTTTTAAATGATTTTCAGTAAACTTACTGAGGTTTGCAACTTTTACCACCACTTAGAATATTTCCATTATCTCAAAACTATTTGTTAATCTCCAATCCTAATCTCTCGTTTCTTTGCATTTCCATGACTATATCCTACCATCATCTGCCTTTCCAATACACCAGCATCACCAGGTAACCCCCCTGAACCTTCCGTTTCCCCCATCTCCAGTCCTTTCTCTGTGCTGCTGCTAAAATGATCTTTCAAAAGTGCCAACCACATCAGTCCTTCAATGGTTGTATGGTATTAATGACCCTGAAGTCTAGGATTTGTATTGTAACCTCAGTGTCCTCCCAGCCCTTCCCTTCCATGGCCTCGTCCATCCCAGAGCATCGTCCCTCGTTACTCTCTGTTCACTCATTGCACTTTAGCCTTCCCTCAGATCCTCACAAACATCAAATTATCTTCCAACTCAAAGCCACGGTGGTGCTCTGTGTAAAGCATTATTAGGTTACTAACCAAAAGTTCTCCAATTCAAAACTACCGGCCGTTCCGTGATGAGGTAGACAGATGATGCAGCCTGATTCTGTAATGATTTACAGTCTTGGAAACTCTAGGGGCACAGTCACCTGTATTAACATGGTGGTCATAGTCAACCCTAACTTCATACTACAAGAGTTTTGTTTTAAAATCATCTCCCTTGTGACTAGGTATTTCTGTCATCACAGGAGTCTAGAGCGATGGCTACATGGTGGAGGGGACCTGGGGGAGG